AGCATTGAACCAGAGGATAGCCCTGGTCTAAAAACTCTCAAGAGAAGTAGCCAAGAGGTGGAGCAGATAGGGCTGGGGATATGATCGCCTAAGTTTCCAGTTTTACCGTGATCAAGGTTATTTTTTTTAACCCCTCCTTCTTCCTTTACCCTGGTACCTAACCTCTCTGTTTATACCACTGTCAACGTCCGGCGATCAGTACTTGGTCAGCGGTCTTAGTCTTAATGAGTGACTTGTCCAAGATCCCACAGCTCTTAAGTTTCAGAGGTCAGACCAGAACCCAGGTTTCCCTAGAAAGCTCTCATTCAGCCAGCTCTCTGCCTTCTGGGCCAGAGGTGTCAAACGAGCACAGCCAGAACCAGATTGGGAACTATTCAACAAAATAAATAAAAATGCAATAAAGCATGAGTGATGTCACATTTTAAACCTAAGTCAATATGCCGCCTACAGGGATCCTTCTGTACCAATTTGTGGGCCCCATTTCCATCTGAGTTTGGCCCCACTGTGGGTCTAGGCCATGCTGCCCTCTTTAGGGATGTGTCCTTGGATGCCCTCCCGTTGCCATGGCCATCTTCTTTATGCTTTTTCCCAAGCTTTAATTCTTGGTATTTCTTTCCCCCAACATCCAGCTCCACAGCTGCACACAGGAAGAGCTTAAGCGATGTTTGTTGATTGATTGAGTGATTGCTAAGCTTAGGTAGTGTAAGAGCTGGGATTTGAACCCAGGTCCATGGGCTCCAGATCCCTCATTCTTGCCCCTGTACCAGGCATCTTCTACCTCTGCTTCTCTTGGATGTTCAAAGGATGCTGTTTATCCTTCAAGATCCAGATAAAATTCTGCCTCTTCTGTGAATTATCCCTATCTTAGCTTAAAGGGACCTCTCCTTCTGAAGTCCCATTACCCGGGTAACAATAATGATAACAACAACAACAACTAGCATTTACATAGTGCTTTATGATTTGCCAAGTGTGAAAATGATTATCATGATGGTAGCTCACATTTATGTAGCGCTTACTATGTGCCAGGCACTGTGCTAAGCACTCCACAGTTATTTCATTTGATCCTCACAACAACCCTGAGAGGTAGGTGCCGTTATTATCCTCATTTAACAGATGAGGAAACTGAGGCAGGAAGGATAACTTGCCCGGGGTCACACAACTGGTAAGCACCTGAAGTCAGATTTGAACCTGGCCTCCCTCAAGTCTCAGCTACAAAAAGCCTTTCTCAGTCCTCAGTCCTTCCCTTTAGACCCATCTCCAGTTTATCCTGGGTATATTTCATGTGTGTATGGTTGTTTGTATGTTGTCTCACTAGTTGGACTGTGAGCTCACTGAGATCAAGGACTGGCTTGCTTCTTATGTTCTGTGTATCCCCAGTACTTATACAGTGCCTGGCATACAGTAGAAGCTCATTAAATACTTACTGATTTCACCTGTTGTCTTATACCCCTTTTTATCCCAGGATCCACCTAGCAGATCTTTACACATAGTAGGTGCTC